AGTACTATATCCTTCGAAAGCACTTCAGGTGGAACAACACAGCCCATTTCCTTCTCAACTATGACACAATAGATGTGTTAAAAGTGTAATTATGGGTTTCTGAATTTATAGATAAAAACGTTTGTTTTTATAGAAACTAGACTAATTCATAGGGTCGAGTGATGACGAATAAGAACAAGTGGTGCACTAGTTCATGAAATGTCATACACCAATTCAAGGAGACACTTCAATCTCTATAAATAGAGACCTTCAAATTCGTTTTTGGTACACCAATCAATTAATATACTCTTGATTTCTAAATTCCTTCTTTCTCCATATTCTGTGGTTATTCCGTTCGAGTACGATCATTTCTTGGTTCGATTGACAAGGTTGGTATTGTACAATATCGACTTTGGAAGAGACGTTGTATCTTGGGAGACACATCCATAATCCCTTTTGCACATTGTTGGGGGGCGAAATCTGTCTTAAGGAGATTTGCTTTGACATACCTCGCTTCATCTTCTGCTTTTATTTTCTGTTTTTTTTATTTGTTCTTTCGATTGCGGTAGTCGAATTTCCGACAACACAATCTGCTTTAGAATTTTGATTACTGCACTGGTCAAAATAAAATCATATTTATCGTCAAAAACCATAGTTGGGAAATGTGGATTGATTAGGTTCAAATTCACTAGCTTACATTTCCTTGGTCGGCAAATAGAAATTTTTCCCGACTAACCTAATATGGTCAGCCAATGTTTACCCAGTCAGCAAAGGTATACTTTCCCTGACCAATTACTGTGTCAACCTATATTTTTTTCGACTTATTTAGACTTTTACCGACCCAAAAAATGGTCAGCAACAAGTTATATCATTTCCGATCAACTACTTGTTAGTAGTGAAAAATCTCTATCTTTACTTTCCCCGACCAAATATTGTGGTCAGCCTATATTTTTTCTGACTTAGTTTAGACTTTTACCGACCCAAAAAATAGTCAGCAACAATCTCTAGCTATCATTCCCAAACAACTTATTATTGGTAAGTAAAGATCTCTATCTTTCTCAACTAAAATGTATCCTGATCGGTGAAAACTTGGTTGGCTGGCTTTTGGCAACTAGCTATCAACCAATATTTTCTAGTTTGGAATTGGCAATACCGGCTAATATTGGACTTTTAGCGACCAAATTTTGGGACGGCAAAGGTCTTTTTCTTGTAGCGTTATGACATTTATATTATATGTAATGCTATAGTTAAAAATCAATTTTCCACAACTATCAAATGTTTCCGTTGCAATTCAGGTGGCAAATAGTTATCTATAGTTTTAAAAATCTTCTTGACTCCGAGGACACAAATTATGAGCATGCACCTCAACAAAATGGAGTGGTTAAACGTATACATCGTCATATTACTTAAATAGCTCACTTCTGTTAATTTTTGTTGCATTTGTTCCATTGGGGTTTTGGGGCAAAGCTATTCTTACAGCTAATTTCCTGATTAATTGTATTTCATCATAATTTTGGGGTATATCACCATATGAACATCTTTATGGAAATCAACCAAATTATGATTTTTTTTTTTGTGTGTTCGGATGTGCTTGCTTTGTTTTGTAACCTAAGAAAGAGCACTCTAAATTGGTAACATGTTCCTTATTATGGGTTTTCATGGGGCATGGCATTGGTCATAAAGGTTATTTTGTCATCATGCATCTGGACACATGTTGCTTGTTTGTGTTACTACATGCTGTTTTCCTCGAAAAAATATCATATTATCGCTTTCCAAAGTATTTGCCACCTTCAAAACCTGAACTGGTACATATTGATGCTGTTGAAATTTCTGAAACCCATTAAATAAAATCCGGGCGATGATGAAAAACAGTTGTCTAAAATTTATCGACACCATAAACTTGGCTCGACTTGAATACTATGATGAAAAACAGTTGTCGAAAATTTATCGACACCATAAACTTGGCTTGACTCTAATACTATCGACACTTTTGGAAGGTCCAAGTTTGAGATGGATTGGTTGTTGTGATTAGTTTGTGGTTTTGGATTATTGTTACGCCCATTTTTTACCCAATCAATTGGTTCTTTGGCCCAATAATATGTGACCTAATCCATTTGAATATATATATCCAACCCTCCCAAACCGTGAAGAGTGTCATGCAATTGCATGTGAAGAAAGAGGATAGCCGTTCTTGGTGTTTTGAGAGAAACAATTGCTTCCTTCTCATCTTCTTTCCTTTGTGGTTAATTGCATCCACCGTTATTGATCCTTTGTGGATCAATAGAAGAGTGAGACTTGAGGCAACCGGGGTGGAGGAAAGTATTGGGTCGAGCTTGAGTCGTGTGGTGTCGATTGTAGTTGTTTCTTAATTGAAGTTTGGAGCACCAAAATCCAACAGATGCATTTAGTACTGATGAGCCCAATGATGTTTCTTCTCAACTTGATGTTTCTAATCATTCCATGTGTCGTTTGCGCCCTTCTCCTATCCGTAGTAATTCTCGCAGGAATTTGCAAGATCTGATATACACCCCTCTAGCTAGTGGTTCAATTACTGGTTCTTTAGATACTGCAGAACATGAACCATCAAAACCTCGCTATCTTACTCATATAAGAAGTTCATCAGATAGGTATTCCCCTCCCTTCAATTTTTATTCTCGAGTCATTGTTCATTTATGTCTAATATTCACTCTCTTGTTAAGCCAAAATAATATAAAGATGTTGTTCTAGATCCAAATTGAAGAAAGGCCATTTAGGAAGAACTTAATGCTCTGCAAAAGACAAGAACTTGAGAGTTGGAAAACATGTAATTGGTTGCAAATGGGTCTTCAAAATTAAATTATGTGGAGTAGCGCGGAAAAAAAAAGTCTGTCAATGGTAAAAAAATAGATGACTGACACCTGCGCCGATAACAATTACAGCCCCTAATCTACCTATCAGTTTTTGCTCTTTGTAGTAGTGTAGAAAACTCTCTATGCATAACAAAAACAAACATAGAGAGCCAACACCCTTGTCGAAGGCCACATGTCAGAGTGATAGGACCGTGTGGACACCATTGATGAGGAAAGAAACTTGGAGAAGAAATACATATTTTAATTTCTAATTAGACACTTGAAAATTAAGGGGGAAGATATAAAGAAGGAAGGAAAGAAAGAAAAAAGAAAATAATACTTCAAGAGGTGTTTTGTGTTTTAATTCTCTTATTGGTCTTCAAGTGTAACACCTTGAAAATTATTACTATTTTTTTTAATATATATTGAATGAGACTTACATGATTTTTTATGATTAAAGGAGGAATTAAATAAAGCTTGCATCAAATTGTGAGAACCCATGTCTTGTTACTGTCTTTGGATTGTACTACCTTCATCGTTATTCCACCTTTTTGTAATATGGAGGCACCACGTAGTATGCATGAACTCTTCGAAGCATTATCTTGAAATTATATTTTGAACCTTGGGACATGTGCCGAAAATGCAACTATGAATCTGAAAACTGTTTTGAAAATTTTATGCAGCCATCTTTGTGTGGCTAAAACTTTTACCTTGATGAATGATTTCTTATTCCGATAAAAGCACCATGTAGTATATTGATTGCCTCTACTATCGACACCTTCTTTTGATGTTGACACCTGGTATGAACTCCTGCTCCAATATGAGCCCTTACGATTATAGGTTGAGGCAAAGTTTGATTACCATAAGTTAGAGCAAATCTCAAAATTTCATAGTTAGTGGAATATGTTTGACTTATAATTAATGATGTGAGTGGAGCATGTCTATGTGACATATATGATTATATGATTGATGATCATACGAATTATGATTGTTATATAGAGATATTTATTGTATATGCTCTATCATATTATTATATGTTTTGCAATCATATCTGATTATTTACAATCTTGTACAAGAAATGGTTGTCCAAACTAAATTCCACTTTTAAGACTACATATACCTCGGTCTATACCTCAATAAGCAGGAATTAAAGATTGTATTGGGGGCTACGATTTTGAGACAGGCGATAGAGCGAATAGAATGATAAAGAATATATTGAAAAGTCTTGGTAAGGATCAACCACGCTTGGTGTGAGAAACCATACAGGGGGCCAGAAGAAAGCAACAAAGAGCACGATCACATGTACACAATATTTCATTCAATGAATTATGTATTCACCCATGTTTCATCTCTACTCTTCAGAAGATAAGGCATGAATAAGTTTGGATAACATTATGGACGTGGAGGCATCAACGATGATACTATGTATATGCACATCATGAAAGGAAGCACACATTACACTTTTATATAATAAGAAGTAATTTTGTATTTTTAAGTGTGTAAGGCTAGTAAAAGAAATAAGGAGGAAGGATGTTTTGAATCACTTTAACCTTCTTCTCCAAGTACTATAATTTTCTAAAGTTTGTAATGGAACTATGGTTTAGTAGTACTTTATATTTTTATTTACAATTAAGCTTAAAATGGTGTTTCGTACTGAATTTATGTAAAATTGGACTTAGGTATCAACATGACACCAGTACCTTAAATTGCAAATGGGATATTGCAATGGAGATTGGTGTCGCAACTCCCAGTACCTCAAGAGTTCAAAAGTGGCTACTGGGTTTTGGAGTCGACACCAAGAATTTGAGTATCTAAACACCAGCACATTGTGGAAATTTTTATTAACTTCATTTTTGACATTTCAAATTCGGAATAATATAAATGACGTAATAAATGGAAATGAGCTTGTAAGAGCTATATAAAGCATGTTTGGTTGTGCATAAAAATCACTTTCCCGATTAGGAAGTAAAATTTGTGAAATAAAAAATAGCTTTTAGCACTCAAAAATACTTAACCTTGTTATGCATCTACAACAATTTCATATCATAATCCCCTGTCAAGTCAACACATGACAGACAACACAAATAACATTAATATCTTTTTTATAGTCATAACAGTTTCAAACTGAAATCAACACATGACAGAGAACAAAAATAACAATATCTATTTTACAACCACAACAACAGTCAGCATTTATTTTTCATCTTCAACTGCTCCACCAACATTCATTGGCTCCTCTTCATCTGATTCCGATAATGCTAGTCTTCGTCCTTTGGCACTTGACGAAGGTGCAGCCTTCATCAAAGAAAAGATAAGGGAGAACAGGAATCAGAAGAGATAAAAAAAGGCCACAAACAAAGTGAAACTCTGAAATTGAAATCCCGAGTAGGATTATAAAGAAATCTGAATGATAAATGATGTAAAAATGAAGATTGTGAAGAATTCAAAGAAGTGATGCAATGCTTGCCTATTAAAAAGACAAGCAATAGATCAATGATACGCAACTCAGCAAGGCATTATCCTCCATACTTGTACAGGGTAAGGAAAATTGAGGGGAGAGAGAGAGAGAGAGAGAGAGAGAGATTACGGCATTATCCTCGGCATCAGAATCTTCAAGGCCAGTTGCTGCAAGAAAATCTTGAGGATTGTTTTTGACTTGATCTTCAATGCCATTCATTTGATACTTACAGGTGGCATCTACATGTTTCATTTCTTCCTGAGCCCCCACAGCAGCTTCGGCTTCTTCTGATTCATAACATATCTTCTTTCCCTTCTTCCGCTTATCCCCTTTTCTCCTCTTTTTTTCACCTTGCCCACTCTCATCTTCAGTATGCAACTTATTCTTCCGTTTTGTAGCAGACATGCTCCTCTTCCATTGTTCCTAAAAGTAAAAAAAGCTTTGAACCATTTAGAAGATGCAGAAGGAAGTGATAAAAAGAAAACGAGAACAAAACATTTTAAGGGAGAAAAGGATGAGAACTGATCTTTAAAATAGAAACCAATTATCATTGTTTGAAACAAGTTCTCAAAAGTCATTTGAATTTTTGTAAAACCGTATGTACTGGATGTGAATGTGACTGATTGTTACTTGATGGGATGTAACTGTTGGGTGTGCGACCAAAGCCCCACATTGGCTAGAAGTGGGGAAGATCAT